GCTATACAGCTGACCACGGCTTGGTACTCACACGCTCCGGCTGCTTTGGCTTACACACACGTTTAGGCTGAGTTTTCTGTCCCACTGACAACGATTGCGATAATGACTGCTGATAAAAACGCAATGAGAACATTGTTAAGATGTCTTGTTCTGGGTGGGTAACATCAGCATGTTGATTGGCTTTTAAAATAAGTCGTCAACAACTGTGCGGACTAACCATACAATAGATGAAAGTCATAATACAGATGTTGCTCCCTTATTAATCTTGTGACTTTACTTTCCACAAGGTGATTATTTTCATCTGCCAGTGTAGACTTTAATATTCTTTCTAGGTATTGTGCTTCGATGAACATTTATTCAACTGCATTCAAAGGCTACTGGAATAAAAGTTGTTCCTTTTAATTGGATAAAAGCAATTAAAATCATTACATGAGCAGGGAAAATGTATGGAAACAACACGGTTGATTAGAGTAGAACAGACAAAGACATACAGTAACACTATGTATTTATAGTTATGAGATACTCACAGGACTCAAAATGTTGCAGTGTTTTTATCAGTAATGTAATATGAATCAATGTAGACATAGATGAGAGTAACACCTACGTCACTTCCGGGTGAAAATTACGGCCCGCCCACTTTTGGGGGAAAACAACGCTGTCATTTGAACGGCGGTCAATACACATTCTGAAGTTTTTGCCAATCCGATCAGAAATGTAAGAAAACCGTGGATTTTCTGATCTTCAAAGAGCCCGATTACGATGGCCAGACAGGCAAACAATTACTTTAAATCATTGTAAATCGATGATCGGGCTCGATATATGGTTAAATATAGCAGTAGGCGATCGATGTCCATAGATGAGAGTAACGTGTANGGTTTTTGCATCTGTGACAGAGAGCGATGGCTTCTCAACAGAAGAGGCACTGCAGTTGACCAGGAGCTGAGCGGGGGGGCGGGGGTCAGCTGTGTAGCCCCCCCGCCCCCCCGCTCAGCTCCTGGTCAACTGCAGTGCCTCTTCTGTTGAGAAGCCATCGCTCTCTGTCACAGATGCAAAAACCATTGCTTTTTTTATTCATGTTTCATCAGTGAGTCCCATTGCAGTCTAACGGCATGACGCAGATTCATGAGCAGGTTATTCTCATGGATCAGTCGGCTGCTGTTCATGTGCTCATTCTGACCAGGACAAGAGTGGCTTTAGATGTGAAGCCCGGAGTTGTAATCGTGGTGATAAATGTAGCTGATTTATATGTAGTTTGTTTAAGTCTTCCCCTATATGTGTGCACTTCCTGTGGTGAGTGTGAAAGTCCTTTTGGTGAAGTAATGTGTAGAAAAGTATCCTTAGCTGATAGCACAGTACTTATCAATAAAAATTGCATTTTACTGTCTGTGGGCTTTTTGTGCAGGACTTTAGAGAGTTGAACTGTGTTTGAAAGTGTTCATGTAATTTGTGTCTGAGTTTCATTTCCAGGTGCTTAATGGATCATTTAAATTTGACTTAAGATAAAAATGTTATTCTAAGAATAGTTAAATGTACATTGTGAGTAATTTCCTTACGTTTTTGGATATGTTTTTCCTACCAGCTATCCTTGTTAAGTGTAGCATGCATGTGTGGTTATTTTAATTTGACGTCTTACCCACATGTAAGTACTGTAATTGTGCTGTTTAGCATCAGTGCAGTGTGTGATTATGTGGACCCGCTATGCTGTTATCTCAGCTAATCATACAGCGTCGTCACAGCGAGCGTCGTCATGGCTTCTTCATGTACGGCTGTGAATGGCTGCTTTGCTGCTCGCTGCTTCCATCCAGTCGTGTGTTGTTCCTCCTCCTCATGTTCTGGTTTGACCCACAGGGCTCAGAATCCGAGTCGAACGGACCCGGCAGAGACAGCGGGCTGGCGTCGTCTCGCCTCGAGCCCTCAGCCACGTTACCCAGCAGGGGGGGGGCCGAGTCCGATCCAGACACCATGGAGGGCATGCTCTGTCGAAAACACGAGATGGAGTCCCACAGCAAAAAGGCAGCTACCAGGTGAGCGTTGGTGCATTAAAACAAACACAATTCTAAATTATTTATTGCCTGTTTTGTAAGATGCACCGTAGAACTCATGTCTGTACCTTATTTAACTGGTTTTGTATAATTGGTTGTATCTTTTAAAGTTGTGTATGCCTAGTTCCTACCTTTTTAACCCTTAGATGCCCTTAGAGTGACTGGACCCTACACTCTTCCATAAGTGGGTCTAAAAGGACCCGTATTAGAATAATATGTGTTTTTATGCCATTTTTGTCATTTTGGTTAAGAAAAATCACTTGTATAATATTTAGTATTATATTTTGGTTCACACTAGAAATAATTTATATTTAATTTTTCACTATTTATAATTTTAGACTTTTTTTTTACATTTTGAAAAAAAACTGTTTGAACATATTGATGCAAAGGNGGGATAAAGGAATTTCTCCATGGCAGCCAGCTCGCGGCAGGTCGCACGTTCTAGATGACGAAGCATGCTGTTTAGATCTGGCGTTTTTACAGACATTCACCGCATGTTAAATGAGCTGAGCTTGTGAGCTACAAGGGAAAGACAGAACTGTGGTTGACATGATCAGCTCAGTTAATGCCTTCAAACGAAGACTGCATCTGCTGTGTTCAAAGCTGCAGCGCAAAGATTTGGCCAACTTCAAAAACATCGCCTCTGAGCTGGAGAAGCAAGGGAAGGACATCGCGCTCCTTGACAGTGTGCGCTACACAGAGCAAGTCAATAACATTACATCTGACTTCGAGAAACGCTTCCGAGACTTTGCTTTGCTCGAGCCAATCGCCACATTCATGTGCTATCCGTTTAGTGAAGACCATGATATTGATTCGCTGGCCCAAAACATCGGAGCAGTGTTTCATCTGAACCCGTCTGCGCTGGAGGATGAGATGTTGTCGCTGCAGGCCAACATTCAGTTAAAGGCGCATTAACGCATGCCGGACAGTTTTGGAACTTATTCAGGGTTGAAAAGTATCCAAACGTCAGAAAATGTGCCACCTCACTGACCTCACTCTTCGGCTCAACTTATTTATGCGAGTCAGCCTTCTCCCAAATGAAGATAGTGAAGTCGAAATACCGTTCCCAATTAACTGATAAACATTTGGAGGCCTGTCTGAGACTAGCCATCAGCAGTTACTGTCCTGATTATGCAACATTGACGGACTCCATTCAGTGCAAGTCATCAGAATATGGTAGGGACCCACCTAAATATATTGAATTGTGTTTTGCAGCATTATATCAGGACCATGGAGAGAGGTTTCTTACCCTGCTTGTTTTTATGTGTTTCTTAACAGGGAAATGAAGGGACAGTCAGCAAGAGAAGGAGAGAGAGAGAGAGAGAGAGAGGGAGAGAGAGAGAGAGAAATAGAGAGAGAGAGATAGAGAAATAGAGAGAGAGAGAGAGAGAGAGAGAAATAGAGAGAGAGATAGAGAAATAGAGAGAGAGAGAGACAAATAGAGAGATAGAGAAATAGAAAGAGAGATAGAGAAATAGAGAGAGAGAGAGAGGTTAACATGCCTTTTTGTTTTATGTATTCATGTATTTGTTTCTGTTCAAGAACCCAAATAGAGTTGTTGTAGTTATCCCAAGTATAAATAAAACGTGTTATTCAGCCCCTTGCAATTTGGGATTTTATTTTTGGTTGGTAGACCTCCGTGAGCTGGTCATTTCAAAAGTAGCTCACCGGCCAAAAAAGTGTGGGCACCCCTGGTTTAGAGCAATGCGATAGGAGCGATTAGAGCGAAGCGATTACAGCGAAGCGAATATTCGCATCGCGTCCGGTGTGAACGCAGCATAAGACATTCTTTCATGTCCTAATACTGAATAAAACTACATGAGTTATCAATATATACAGAAATATTGCTCACTGGCTCTGAATACACATACAGACAAACCATGAGGGGCGGGATGTTTATCAGTATTGGCTAAGGATGGCCATGTCTCAACCAATGAGAGCATTTGTTTAAGACTGCTGCAGCACTCGCATGAACCGAAACAGAACTAGCGGGGACAGAAACATGGAGATAGTATGTCTCCAATTTTTTAGGGTATTTGCACACAGCATGCAACAGCAACATGCCCTTATATAGTGTTCATGGCACAATATCTATGAAAAATAAGCCAATCTCTTCCAATTCAGATTTTAAGAATGTTTGTTGACCTTTAATGTTTCTTCCACAGAAAACTTAATAAAAGGTTGCTGCATGTTGCGGCAGAATGCAAAACTTAAATGTAAACAAATTGGTCTTTTCAACTGCTAGGTTATTAATCAAAACATGAGAACAAGTTGTTTATTAAGTTGCCTGGAACTTTTCGTCGAACAGTGGCCGTTTCTAAATAAGTGTTTTGCCAGTTGAACACTACTAGCAGTATCACTAAGCATCAATAACTTGCATCATTTCCTATAAACCTTGTTTTTTTTTTAAAGACATACTTACTGAATCTAAATGTATTGAATGTCTGCTGATAGTTAAAACCATGGAAAATGGTGTTTAATGTATAAAAACCTAAAGAACTTTACTGGTTTACATATGTGAACCTGTTCAAGTCCAAACTCTTTAATTTAATTCATTTATATTTTATATTTCATTAAAACAAATGAAGATTAGCAAACTTATTGATTTAAAAGATGTATTTCTATTATTAGATTCTTTAAAAACAAGTGTAACCCAACACAAGTGGAATGTTTTGTTACCAAATCAATGATGCTGCTCAAATACAACAAAACAAGGCAAAATGATTACATTTGCTGATACTTTATTTGCTTCTCAAGGTCATTTCTTGCTGAAGAGCTTCATATTTAAGTTTCTCAGCCTGGGGCTTCTCTTGGCTGAATATGTTGGCCATTTTGAGCTCCTCAAAATCTTTTTGGACATCCTACATTTCCTTCCTTCTGACAAAACGATTGACATTGGTGGTATCCTTCAAGTTGTCGATGGTCTTTGCGTCACTGAGCCTCTTCAGCCTCTTCAGTTTTCGGCGCGTGACCTTCTCTTTGTTTCGGAACCTCTTTTTTAGGGTCTCCTGGCGAGCCAGCTGTTCTTTAGTCCTTTCCAGTTCCTCCCAGATCTTCAGCCTAAGCTCGTGCTCACTGATGTTTATGGCACTTGCCCTTCCCAACAGTTCATTCAGCGCCCTCACTTGATTCTGCATGATGCAGCTTTCCTCCTGCTGCCTGCTGCTCGTTCCTATATAGAGATGATAATTCAGGTGCTCCACTTCCCCCTGGAGGGACTCTGTTTGGATCATCCGTTTCTCCTTTTCAGTGGTGAGCTGCTTCACCTTTGCGTCCTGGCGGCCGCAGTAGATTTCAGCGCCTTGCAGCCTTGCAGTCAGCTTCTTCACTTGTTTTTTAAAAGCATCCCTTTCCATCTGACACTGTGTCATCATTCTGGTCCAGGAGGGGACATCGTGATTACAGCTGTTCTCCATCGATAGCTTGTAGATCCTCCAAGATGCAGTCTGTCACTGATGAACGGTTCTGTCTTTCTCTATATCGAGGATTGGTTCTCTCACGTTGCTGTGTAGGAAGCTTTTCTGGTAGGCAACTGACTCTGGATAGAAAGTTTCAAAAGTGTATTGTGATGACCAGCTGTTGTCATAACACACACAGAATAGAAGTGTTGTGACCTCCAGAGTTCCACAGTTTCAATTCACTTTCTCCTTCATAGTTTGTACAGAATTACAGACAGCATTTCAATTAGGGTTCAAAATAGATGTTTTTTATGATTTGTATTGTCCTAACCATCTGTACTGCAGCACTGATGTTTGTTCATACCCTTAATAAACCTACATGTACACTTTTCTTAATAAATAAACTCTTGTTGTCGTCATGCAACCTCACAGTTAGCCTAATAATTCAAAAATGCTTTGTACAGAATAACTGCACAACCACAAGACTTTATTTATTAAGAAAAGTGTATATCAAAAACTGTCGCAATTCACATAAACAAACATATATAATGTTCTGCTTTGATTGTTTTTCGTAGAAGAACCAGGAGGTGGAGCACTATAGGGACTTCCTGGGGTCTCCACTGGTTGCCATGTAACTACAATCATTCTAAAAATGCCTTTCTAATGAGAGTCAATTTTTGCATGACGACAGTTGGTTGTTTTTCAACAAAAGTGTAGGTTTTTTTAGGAGGTATGCCAATGCAGACCTACCTCAGCCGCAAATCATAAAAGCATCTGCATTTAAATCAAAGCTGACTGTTTTGTGTGGATTCCCCTGAAACAAACTGTTCAAGAAAAACATAGATGAGATGGTCGGTCTATTTAAAATGAATGTTAATATTTGAAACTGTGGAACTCTGGATGTGACAGCACTCTTCTGTGTTATGACAACAACAAGTAATCACAACAGACAATTTCAACACAAACTAAATTCACAGTGAGTTTGGAGGAGTTATCTACAAGTAAAAAATGGAGAACAGCAGGAAGCAACTGGTTCTTTCTAAGTTAACAGGAAAGTTGAAAGAGTATGAGCTGGAAAAAGATGCTCTTAGAAAGCAGGTGGAGGAGCTGAAGGCACCGCTACAAATCCAGTGCATCTGTCAGGAACAGAACTTGAAGCAGATGACACAGACAGAGTCTCTCATGAGAGAAGTGGAGGACTTAAAACATCAGCTCCTTCAGGAGAAATGCAGCAGACAGCAGGAGGAATCCAGGAACCAGCAGGACGCACTGAGGGAGCTGAGGGAGCTGAACGATCTAACGGAGCAGACTGAGACTGAAAAGTTGTGTCGTCAGAAGCCCATAAGAGAGAAGGAAACCGGCAATGATCTGAGGCTTGGTGATGCAGAGGCCATGGACAACATCGCCACTGACGTTCATGATATCAGAAGTTGGCAGATAAAGGATCTTGAAAAATACTTCAGGGAGCTCAAAGTGGCCCACCAAGAACTTGAGCATGTGAAAGTTTCATATCGGATGAAGTTGAGGTATGAAACGGAGCGGATGGCTGAAAGGGAAAACAGCCTAACCAAACAGATAAAGAAA